ATGATGGTCGAAAACAAAGTCAGAGGTTAAGCACGTGCGCATCACTGTGGGTCGCATCCTGGCCAAGACTCTGCCGTCGTCGTCTTCTGCTTTACGAGCTGTGCCCCTCTCGTTTGTTAGCCGCTTTTGGCCGCTTTGGGCCAATTATAACCTTGGCCTGCTGCCGCCATATCTCACATTTTTTAGTACGTGGCCCGGACCGGGTCGGTCGGCAATGATGAAGATGATCATTTCTTTTGGCCAGAGTTAGTCGTCGTCGCTGTCGTCTTTTGCGATTCTTTGCCTGCTCTTGGAGTTGGCCTGGCGCTTGGCAAAATTTATAAACGCGCACAGCGAACACCTCGCCACACGTTGGGGCGTCTCCCCCCTCTTTCTCCACCAGATACAGCTCCAGCTCCACCTTCACTTCAGCCTCCGCTCCACCCTTTTGGGCCAACTCAACGACCTGGTAATTTATGATTAATGTTGGGCAGCCGCTGTCGTCGAAGATGTTGCAGTTGTGGCTATTGCTTTTGGGGGGAAAAAAATCTCAAATCGCAGAACGCAGAATGGAGTGTACCATTTTTGGCAACCCTCCCGTTGTGTCTTTTATTACGATTGGCCGATTGGCATGTAGGTATTTAAGTGTATGTACAGAGAAAAAAAAAAAACCCTAATATTATATTAAGATTGGAGAGTTATATGATACTATAAATTGGATTCTAGAGCTTAATCAGAAGCATAACAATTATAAAAATTTAGTAGATTAAAATGGTCTTCAATATTTGTGAAGAGAAACATTAGCAATTCTTGAAAGATTTATCTGTATTATAGAAAACACGTTTGGTGGATCTATATTTATTATTTATGTATTTAAAAATTTAGGAACTTGTTATATATTAAGTAAGTCAAAAGCTTATTTTAACAGCAAGACAATATATTCTAAAAATTCCATGCCATAGATGGAGTATCACAGATCGCATTTTAAACCTCACTTTTAAGCTCTTTAATCACATATCCATTTATTAATATTCATCAAATTAATCATATAAATAGTTAGATAGTTGTTAGTTAGTTAGTTAGTTAGTTAATGAAATTTTCCAAAGAAATCTAAAGGGATTTTATATAAATTTTTACACCACTAACTTAAAAGTTGTATTAAATTTTGAGAACATCAAAAAGTTATAAATTTTATTCCCATATTTATCAACCTAAAATTTGAATATGATTTAAATTTCTTTGGTAATTCTTCAAATAATTTCCAAGAATATGACAAAATTGGCTCAAGAGTTTTCCCAGAACTTAAAAAATGTATCCAAGAACCCAATTTAATTTGAATTCTCTGTGTATTTTTGTGGGTGAGACCGGCAGGAGTAGCGTCCCAAAAGGTGAACTCATGTCAACGCTTCGCTGATCTTGCCAGGCATTTCAGTTGTACTTTTCGCATATTTTGTTCAGTTTATTTGCTCGTTTTTGGAACGCTGAGTTTTTTTTGGGGGGTGGAATGGAGTAAATGCACTTCCTGCTGGCGGCCAAAGGCAGGTCGGTGCCGAGGAGCTTAATTAAAGAGCAGCGGCGCTCATTTGACTGGGCCCGAGAGGCTTCCTGGAAATCAAAGAAACAAACTCGCTAAATATTTCAGTTAACGCTTTGGTGGTCTTGGCCTATAATTTGCCGCTGCTGCTGCTGCTCTGGCTGCTGCTCGGATAGACATCGCATCTGATGCCGACTGATGCTGACGGGTTTTGTATAAACAAGTCGAAGTCAGCTCTCAATCATAAATGAATCATGCGCAAATTATATGGCCAGGTCTGGAGCGATCCGATCCGATCTGGAGTCGGCTCTGGAGGCTGGACAGATGGCAGGACACGCAGCTCGCTGGCGCTGCTTAATAAACAATCATCAGCAGCAACAACATCTTCGAGTTCGAGATGAAGATCGAGATCTCGAGATCGAGATCGAGATGCGGATAGAGGGATGGTCATGGGGCGAGATGAGTTGAGTGGCAAACACGGCAAACAACGCCAACGCCAACGCCATCGTCGCGTCGTCCATGTGATAATGATGATTTCACAACCAATTAAGCGTTGAAAGCCAAACACCGCCAGCAGAAATTTGAGGTTAATCCTTTAGCTGCTGCAATTTCGGGGCCAGCGAAACGTGAGCAGAAGGCGGCAACAGCAACAGCAGCAGAAGCAGCAGCACCAACACCAAGGAGCAACACCAACAACAACGGCTACGAGCAGCAGAAGCACAGTGGGTCAGGAGAGCCAAAATTTACAAAGAAATATATCATAAAAATGTATACATATAAAAAGAAAAGTAGGTAAATAAATAAGGTTCTTTAAAATGTTTTATAGTAAATTAGATTCCTCGATATTACCTACTTTTAGACATCTTTTCATATTGTAGTTTTACTAATTATTTTGAGGAAAGCTATGAAGACAACTCATTGGTCATTCGTGACAAATTAGAACTGCATTTTTATTAGTGATAAATAAAAAAAGTCTTAGAAGGAAACTAATTTACATTTTATTGTAGAATTATCAATGATTAACTAATATCCATTTAACTATTTAAAACAGACTAAACTTAGATTTAAAACTACAATTTGTACACCTTGTGCACAGAGCCGGCACATGCTGGGTAGAGTCAGTGTTGATTTGCGAGTAAAGGCTTTAAACATAATTGCTTTATTTGAGTGTTTCGACAAAATTTAAATAAATAAATAATTTTTTATTTATTAATTATTTATTTTAACTTATTTTATATTTTTCGTGTGACTAAGAGAAAGGGCTTTTCTTATTTTCCTTTTCCTTTTTCTTTTTTTTTTTTTGTTAATTATTAATACATTATTAGTATTAGTATAAGGGGAAATATAATAATTAAGTTAATGCCTACATATGGTGTCTGGATTTCATCATGTCCCATTCAAACCTGGCCCCACTGTGCAGCGATGAAGATCTGAGATCTAATTTATTTATAATTTTAATGAAATTGAAATAAATAAATAATTTTTAAAATTGGTTTTTTAAAGCTAGCTTATCGTGTCAATAAAAGAGAAAGAGCTTTCCTTATTTTCTTTTACAATTCCTTTTGGAATTTAAAACAGTTTTTTTCTTTTTGTAAAGTATTAATTTATTAAAAAATATAATTCAGTTAATGATTACATATGGTGACAAGATTTCATCATGTCCCTTTGAAAACTGGTCCCACTGTGCAGCGATGAAGATCTGAGATGGCGATGGAGATGGCGTTGATGCAGGCGGCTTCAATCAGCGCTCTCGGTCACACACTTGGCAGCAGCAACAGTCGCAGCAGCAGCAGCAACAACAGCAGCAACATCAGCAACATCAGCAGCAGCAGCAGCAAGTCGCAACAGCAACAGCAGTAACTGCGGCGTCTGTCGGCTTGTTAAGTGGAGTGGCTGGTGAAGTTTGTCGGGTCGGCAAACGCCACGGGAAATTATGGTGGCCAAACTTCCCAGACCGCAACTAATTTAACCAAAGTGCGAATTGGAGGAGTCGCAATCGGAATCGCTTGGAGTTGCATTCGCAGTTGGAGTTGGAGTTGGACTTGGACTTGGAGTTGGAGTTGATGTTGAGCCGAAAGCGAAGCGAAATGGCCAGACAAACCGAAAAACAGACCGCAACAAAGCCGCCGCAGTGTGGCTGAGAGGAGATGGGACCAGGAGGAGGCATTTGGGAGATGGGAACTGTTGCCACTCTCCACACACACCACTCACACACAGACACATCTTGTTAGGCGGCCTGAGAATTATGAGCCGGGCTCTGGGGCCTCCGCACAAGCTGCGAACTTGTGAAGCGTGATGAGCGCACGGCTGGGATGGGATGGGGATGGGTTGGGATGGGATGGGATCCCAGCTGGAAGGGCGGCACACGGAGGAGCAGCACACAGTCGCATCAAGGCTCCATGGGCAACACGCGATCTCCACGTTGCAGGCAGGGAGCACTTGGAAATTAACTCATAAAATATACATTATCATAGCTGAAACCGCGACTCTGGCTGTGCCGAGTGTTTCATATAAGTTTCATGCTGTTGTGTCTGCTGCCTGCAGTCTCCTCTTGGAGAGGTCTTGGATCTGGCAGCTAGCTGGGAAACATGTCGTGTTCTAGCCTGCCTTTTTGGCGCACCTGTCGCCGCCGCCGCTGATTGGCCCCGTCCCCGGCCAGCACCGATCATCAGCTGCCATCAGTTGCCTTTTGCCAATTGCCTTAACAGATTTGTGTGCAATTAGCCAGGCGGTCGCCATGGGAGTAGCTCCTCTGCCTGGCTACACCAATCCTCTGCAGAACCGGCAAATGACATGCCGGCCCAACAAGTGCAGTCGAGCATAATGGCAAATAAAGATCGGGCGGAGCGATAGTTCAGCCAGGCGGTGTCCATAAAGTAGCAACTGATTTTGACGCCCAAAAGAGGGATCAAAATGTGGAGTATTTCCTACCAGGGGAATATGTAATTATTACTTCTTGCATTTTAAGACTTTCGGGTTGAGAGCATAATTTATTATTTAAATTTTAGATAGTTTTATGACTTTAAGCCGTTTTCTTGGGCTTAATTTCATAAGTAATTATATTATACAAGAGACTTCAGTTGCCGCTTTCCATTATTTACTAATTTTTACTATACTTAAGTTCCTATTCATAATTAAAAGCTCTTATTTGTTGACTGTGGGAACCTTAACAAATTTTTGGTTGTGGTCCCCTTTGTCCTTTTAGCCTCCCCCAGACGTCCTTTTCGCTTACGTAGTCACCGTGTAGCTGCACTTATGCACAATTATGGCTTTATTGTCTAAACTTGGGCACATCTATTTAAAGCCATGCTCCAACTCGGATCGGATCGGTTCGGTTTGGAGCCACAGAGCGTTGCATTTTCGGCTTGGCCTTTAATGCGCCGCCATCGCCGCCTGCGCAGCTTCCCTTGCCCTTCCCTCTTGTACCTTCTTTTCCTGCTACCAATAACTGCTCCTCCTCCTCCACCTCTTCACCTGGCTGGCTCACCTGGCCCTCTGCAATCCGTCCGTCTGTGTTGGCTTCATTGTTTTCCTGGCGGCCCTTCGTCATCGTCAGCAGCTTAAGTCGGTGCAGAGAGAAAAATAAGTCTAGATTTGGGGAAATTATGATAAATATTTCTAAATACATATATTTAACTTAAAGAAACAAACTAATAACCTTTATAAATACTTTAAGAACTGTCTCCTTTTGAAGCTACCATGTCTTTTATATTATTTTTACCTTAATTTAAACTTGGTGTTTGGGGTAAAATTATCAAGGAAAGGCTATTTCCCTATCTTAATTTATAAATCTGACTAGACATTACTTATTTTTTAATAGATTACCCTGGACCTAAAACAAGGAATTCTATTAAATTTCTTATGAATATTAGCAAGTTATTCCTTTTCAATTAATTTTTAAGTAGTATCTTGAGTTAGATTTGTAGTTTGCAATCAAGATTATGACACCTTTTAGTTATTTATTTATTTCTCTTATTAAATATTATATTAAACAGTCTGGATTCTAATTTCTAACTACTCAAAGGACCCAAAAAATTCTTTGTGTGCTTTTTCTAGTTCAGAGCTCTCTCTGTGTCTGTGACTGCTTCGGTTTCTGTTTCTGTTTCTGCAAACTGCTCCCAAGTTCCAAGTTGCGAAGTTGCTTCGACTCCGACTACGACTTGGGACTCCCGGACGAATTAACTTGTTTTGGTATAAACGGCGGCTATTTTGTAAGTTCATAAAGGATAAATTGCCAATTTTGGGATTTGAACGGGCCAACGTTTTGCGTGTCTGTCCCAGCCGCATCGTCGCTCCCCCATTACCATTCCCATTCCCAGTCGAAGTCGCAGACCCATTCCCATTCCCAATGCCAGTCCCTGCCCCATTCGTCGGTGCTATATTGAGTTTTCAATCTTTTGTTGACTTGATGTGGCCACCGATCGACTGACTCCAACTTGGACTCCCGACTCCGACTTGGTGCTGCAGTTGGAGTATCGTTTGCGTGGAGTCTTCAGGGAAAACTGGCAGCCAACCTTGAGTTGCTTATTTAAGGCAGTTCGTCAATTTCTGCCCCGTCTGTGTCCGAGTCTGAGAGACAATGGTTCGGTTTGGGCCTGGCCAAAAGCCCAGCAAAATGCTAGCCACTGTGGCGGGGCAGTCTGGCTGTCCGGGTCTCTGTGGCGGCGCAAAATGAAACAAAACCAATTAAAAATGTTTCGTTGCACCCAAAAACGAAGATTCGCTGGGTTGAAGCTGGAGCAGGAGGCAATATAGCCATGCACTGTGATAAAATGGGGATTGTTTTTTGTTGAGAACGAGATATATTATTTTTACTTGCAGTTTTTATTAGGTGATAAATATTTCCAGAAGAAGTCCTGACTTTCTCATTTTCTGTAGCTATTTTATGTATATATTTTTGAAGTTCTTGTAAATTTAAGAGTAATTTCTGTATTTTTATAATTTATACTAAATAATAAGAGAGGTTTTCAGGTTAAGAAGATAGCAATGCTTAATTTTAGACATCTCTTTAAGGGTTCCAAAAAACCTATTGATATCTGGAGCACCTTAGCATAATGCTATGTTAAAGCTGCCAAAAAGTAGGCAATACTTTTTGCAAACGAAACACCAGGCATTTAAGAATGCTTTAATATTTTTTACTTTAACGTATAGCCCGATGTAGGAAACCCTTATATTTCAACATAAGGTTAACGTAGTCAAAGTTTTTCTTAGTGTTTTGTGGCAATTGTTGGTGACTGTGACTGCGCTGGTGGCACTGCCAGAGGAGGAGTATCTCCCTTCTGTGTCCACTGAGCGCCACTGGGTGAGTTCTACTTGCCCCTTGGAGTTGCTGCTGTTGATTGTCTTGCAGATATGCAAGCTGGAGGAGCAGGAGGAGCAACTGGAGGAGCTGCTTGGGGGGCGGGAAGCGCAACGCCGGCGCACTACCTACACGGTGGCAGGCTAACAAAAAGCGACAACAACTACATTTTTTCGGTCCCAGCCCCGCTGTGGCATACACACAACACACACACACACCGTGGAGAGTCGTATTGGAAACATTCTTCTGGGTCTCAGGTCTTCATTTTTAATGAAATTCTTAACAAGGCGCACAAAATGCAGCGACGCGACGTCGACGTTCAACTAACTAACCAAATCGCAGTCGCTGCCAGGCAGCAAAGTTAAGTGAAGTGACCGACCGACCGACCGACCGACCGCCCGCCTGCCCCCCTTTTTTGGGAGCTGGGAACCCAGAACTGGGAGCTTGGAGCTTGGGGCATGGAGCATGGAGCTGCAAGGCACCAGGAGCTTGGGGAACTGCAATTGGGGTCCGCGGCCATGAGAAGGCGACCGCACACCGCGATTTTGGCCAACGCCGCCGCTCTCATTGGAATTCATTAAAAATTCAACAGTGTGTGTGTGTGTATGTGTGTGTGCGAGTCGTCTGCCCAAAAAGCCGGTTAAAAAGCCCAGCATCCAAGCAAACCGAACATCCCAGCATCCCAGAACATGACACAAAAAAAAAAGAAAAGAAAAAAAACAGAGCCTGGAATGAGAGCAGCTCGAAAAATTTACGAAATTAGTTCACAAGGAGGAGGCAGCGGCTAAGTTGGAGGCCCGAGAGCATACCAGCGCCACTTTAATTTAGTCATCAGGTGATTTTTCGCGAGCTTCAAGTGAAATCTTTAACGTGACGTTGGAGATTGTTATGTGATCTTGCTGAGGGTCTCTTCCACCAGAAAGGAATCAGAGGAGTAAGGGAGTAGGGAGTAGGGGAGCAGGGGAGCAGGGGATCAGGGAGAAGGAACTGGAAGCCAGGGTATCCAGTGGACACTGGGGACAGAGGTTGAATAGTCACCGCGTGTGTGGGCAATTGGGTTTTTGGAGTTTGAAGCTGGCCTCTTTAACAAATAAGTGGAGGGGAAAATGTAGATCAGAAGATCCTTTTGATAATATTTAATCAATTAGAATATATATGCATTCGGATATATTTAAAAATGATCCATTTTGATGACTAAATCCATATATAAACATCTTTAAAGGTTGTTTAATTTGTAAATATACTTCTCACATTTTTGGAATAGTAAATGAATTATTTATAAACTATAGAAAAATAAAAAAAACTTTGAAATGGTTTTAATAATATTTTGAAATATTAAGGCTATAATTAAAATAATAATAGTTATTCTCTTTTTATGTAGGAATTAAATTCCTTTGTATGCCCTGCATTTAACTTGAAGTTTTCAAGAAAATATGATATTTAATACGAAATCTATATATCATTTAATAACTATATGATAATATAATATAATATGATTATTATCATACATTTTTACAAAAAAACATTTATATATTTCTTCTATTATGGTATAATTTCTTATCTTGATTTTAATTAAACATTAAAATGCAACAGTAAAATTAACCATATTTAAAAGAAATCTATGATCTTGAGAATCTCTTCAAGAATTCTCTGTTTAACCAATTGATTCTGGCAGCTGATTCTGTGACTTTTTCTGTCATCCAAAGCCACCGAATTGTTGGATAATTTCAGAGGCATTCGACAAATTCAAATAATTTTCAAGGCAAGCTCCACAAGTCAGTTTATAACCCGTACAAACTCGAAGTCTATAACTGAGTTAGCGACATTTTTGAGCTTGTCTGAAGTAGCCCAGAATCTAGATGCCATAGCCAGAAGACTGGCAGTGCAGAGAAAGAAATTATAAGACAAATTGAGATTTAAATGTTGTTAAAATATTTCAAAAACTCAGAGAATTGTAATACAATTTTACTAGTAGCATATTTGTTGATAAAAATGTAAAGGGTTAAAGAGTTATGTTAAGTTATGGTATCTTTGGAATGTCAAGTTCATGGTGTTGTCAAGTTTCTTTTTGTTCTGTGTGTGGGACGCCGTGCAGTCTAGAGCATAATAACAAACAAACAAGCCCAGGCGACGAACTGAATCACGATCTGCAGTACTCATACCAGTTCCATATTGCGCTGGCGGCCTTTCAGTCTAGCCTTTTAGCTCCGGTTTGGCGTTGGCTGTCTCAATCTCTGGTCTCCAGCATCCATGATCCATGCTCCCTACTCCCTACACCAGACATCTTCAGGCAGGCTTATCAACAAATACCGCAGACAGATATTTAGCGAGTTCTACTGCAGGCTGTTGCTGTTGCTGCTGTTGCTGCTGTTGCTGCTGTTGCTGCTGTTGCTGCTGTTGCTGCTGTTGCTGCTGCTGCTGCTGCTGCTGCTGTTGCTGCTGCTGCTGTTGCTGCTGCTGCTGCTGTCAACCTGACTAAGCACCGACAGATACTCGAACTCGTGCTCGGAGTGCACTCGTACTCCGGCTGCAACAAGTTATTTACTATGACGAGCTTTGATTGGATCGAATTGGACCTCAAGGACGGGGAAAAGCAGTTGCAAATTGTGAACTATTTGATTTAGGAAATGCGGGGCAAAAACCAGTAGCCGACAGCTGCAATTTCAATAAAGCAAGTGCAACTGCCACTGTTGCTGCTGTTGTTTGCTGCTGCAACAGGTGGCAATCGGTCATGCAACTTGTGGCCCGGAGACTCTACCAATCCACCAATCAGCCAGAGGCAACATCATTGCACAGCCACGTTTAATGACAAGATCAAGCTCAGTTCACTTCACTTCACTTCACTTTACTCTACTGCACTTCACTCTACTGCAGTCCGCCCCACTTCACTTCCTCATGCCCCGGGCTGGAGAGTAGGATTCAAAGTCGCGAAAGTGCGCAGCAAATGCTGCCACTACACTCTAAGAAAATGCTTACTACTTACTAAAGATTAGGAGAGGTTAGCCAGGTACTTAAGGTCTAGAAAGAAGATTAGATTATGTGTTAGTAAATCTTGAACAACTTTCAATCTTTAAACATCTAATCTAGACTGAATGATTTATCAATTAAGAAAGGAACCCCTATATCTTTCATTTGTACAGAATAATTTCCCTTTTTAATTAAATAACTCCTTCTTGTGTTCATATTTTTATAAAATTGTTTATAAGCATGCACCCCTGATAGTAATCCTAGCTCTTTAATCATTGACTATT